TAGATATTTATTATAAGTCAAACTAAAATAGAATTGTAGGCATTTATTTTGGAAACGAGGAGTATGTTGTATATTTATATAATAATAAATATATTTCCGATGAACCCTCCCCTTCTCCGACCCTCTTCTATTCCTCTGGTGTTTAAAAGATGAATATATAGGTTTCCAAAACAAATGTAAAGAGAAGATTTTGAATATGGTCTTTAGAAGCAAATGTGAAGCAACCGTCTACAAAGAGGTTCTTTCTGGTGATGGCTTTTTCTATGGGTCTCGTTGAAACTAGACCAAAATTCGTTTCGAGGATTCCGATTCCTCTAGCTTTCATGCATTTGTTGGACACCACACCAATGAACATAGGTTTGATTATTCTAGGTTGGTGATGGTTGCATCTCGTGATTTAGATTATGATTTGATTTAAATTAGGGTTTTGATTTAGTTTAGGTTTATGACTTTGTACATGATTCGTGCAATGTGCAACTTTCGTTTATGTTTGATTTGCTTATTTTTTTTCGTCGTTGTAGACAGTGGGGGTGGAGATGGTAGTGATGGCCATCTATGATCATGGTGGTGGTGGTGAATGTTCTTGAAGAAGAATAGAAGGGTAAAACGAATTTGGCTCTTGTATGAGGGGCACACGCCTTACTTAACATTCCTTAGGTGTCGTTTACTAAACGCTTACTCGGGTAAGCGCTTACCAAGTCACAGTACTTTACCGGATATATATGACAAGGACTAAGGGGTCGTTTACCAAACACTTACCCATGTAAGCTCTTACCAAGTCATAATACCTCACCGGATGAAGATGGGTAAGGACCAAGAATCTTACCTGATAAGAGCGAGACAACGACCAAGAGTCTTACCCGGTAAGTGAGGGCGACGACTCTTACCACGGTAAGCACTTACCGAGGTAAATTGTTGCATATGATGTCGTCTTGATGGATTAAAATATTACCCGGTAAGTAAATAATAGTGTTAAAATTTACAGGTAAACACTTACCCGGTAAGTGTTTGGTAAACGGCCCCTTAGTTAACAATGTTCAAAAGGATTTGTTTGGTAAGTGAAATAAGAAGTAAAGATCATTGATGTATTTATTGAACTTTGTAAACATAAATAATAGTCAACCAAAGCACAAGGATTAACGGGTATTTCATTCTATTATATATTTATTGTGCTTACATGTATATCTACTATTTTATATTGAATAAGCTAAACTACTGATTTTCGTCCCCATGGCTTGGTAAAAGTTGTGACTTTCGTCTTTGTGTCTTAAAATTATGGTTTTTGTTTCTACGGGTTGCCATTCGTTGTTGTTTTCTTCTGAGGCTAACTATGTCAGTGGTTTGGCGTTAAGTATGAGTAGGGGTCTAAACGATTGAACTTTTAACGAGCTAATTGAACTCGGGTTCGTTTATCTTAAGGATTCGAGCACAAGCCGATATGAAATCTAACATTAAACTCGTTTAACATAAGGATTCGAGCACCATAACACAAATGTTCAACTCGGCTCATTTGAAAGATCGATTAAACTTTTTCACTCAATCCGATCAAGTGGAGCCATGAGCCATTCGAACGTAGACTTTTTTGAGTAAAAGTTCTTCATATGTTTATAAATTATGCAATCAACATATAAAAGCTATTAAGATCAAGCAAGTAAATGAATCATATTGATCTTGATTCTCAGCTCATAATTGAACTTACAAACATGAATTTTAAATATAATGTATAACTCAAATTTATTAAATGAGCATCGGACTCGAGCTCGAATATTGGAAAAAAAATATATGAGTTCGAGCTCGCACCCTACTTTAGAAAAGTCCTTTGAGCTCGATCTTAGTAACAACCTGCTACTTGACCCAGCTTGGTTCGTCAATACCCTATATATTAAGAACATCTCCAACATATTTTCCAAAATGGAGAATTAAAACTCGAACATCTCCAAAGAAATTTGATTTTCATCTCCAACAGCTTCTCCATTTTGGAGATTATAATATTAATTATATCATAAAATGTTTAATACATTTCATAAAATATTATTATTTTATCTTCTATACACTTTGCATTTCCATTTCCATTTCTTTGATCTTCTGTTTCCGCGCTACACATTCTTCTTTTGCCAAGTTCCTTCCTTTGTAGTCAAATTTGATGATACATTTTGGCAATCGCAACTTCGAATATGGAATTCAAAGGGATCAAATAGGAAAGCGTTGATCGGGGCAAGGTATATCTCTAGATTCATTGGTAGAAAGAATAAAAAATAATTTCTCTTTTAGAAGTAATTATTTTTGGAGAGTTTTTAAATTTGAAGACTTTCATCATTTCTCCTATTTTCTCCATTTTAGAGAAGGTTTGGGAAATCTATTGAAATAAAAATTCTTAAAATCCCTATTTTAAATAATCTGTTAAAGATGCTCCAAGTACTGAAAACAATAACTGATTGTAATTTTTAGAAACCATAAAGTAGTGTTTTGTACACAGACAAGATCAGACAAAACAGAACTGGACAGAACAAGTGTCTGTTTGGTGTTTGATACGACTAGGACTGGACTTGACAAAAGTTGATGATTTTGTATATATATAATAGTTACAGTTAACACAACTAAAGTAAATAATTTAATAATTTAATTTATAAATAAATGTATACATATAATAGTACCAAATTCGAATGAAAATTTTGATATAATTGATAGTAGCTTGAAAAAACCCAATTCATACAAAGGTTTTTTTTTTTTTTTTATTCGGTCTGGAAGGCCCTAATCAATTGGCTAAGTCAAGGTGAAGATTATTGCAACAATAATAGTTGTGGAGGTAGAGGCATTGGTGATTGGTGCGATGGTGGTTATAGATGACGTGAAGAAGGTGGATAGTGGTGGTGGTTGCCGGTCGACAGTAATGGAAGATGTAGTTGTGGCCAATGTGGTGGAGGTGGTGTTGGTGGTGGTGCTTATGGTGGAGGTGGAGGTCGAGGTGGTATTGGTTATGGTGGAGGTGGAGGTGGAGGTGATGTTGATTATGGTGGATGTGGAGGTGGTGGTGGTCGACAACACTAGTAGTGGAGCTACACGGTGGTGGTCCGTGATCGACGGTGGTTGTAGAAGACGTGAAAGTGGTAGATAGTAGTGGTAGCCGATGGTGGTGGCCGAAGGTGGTAGTGGTAGCCGATAATGGTGGTGGGTAATGGTCATGGTGGAGATGAGGTGGCCCATGGTGGTAATGGTGGTGGAGATGAACGGTGGTGGTCAATGGCCAACGTTGGTTGTGTAGGTGGTATAGGATGTTCTTGTAGTAGAAGAGAAGATGGAGGTGACCAAAAATGGTACTGGTGGTGGCGATAGACGGTGATGTTGTGGAGGTGGCGATAGATGGTGGTCGACTATGGTTGTGCAGGTGGTGGAGGAGGTGGAGGTGTCCAATGGTGGCTACCGGTGGTGGCACCGTTGGCGAATAGTGATGGTGACCTTTAAAACAAATATCATATTAAAGTTATATATCAAACAAGAGTTAATTAGTAATATTTTGTCTTATTCTTATCCCATCTTATTCCACATATTTTGATGAAACGAGAATTTTTTTCCTTTCATCCTATCTCATTTTGTCATAGTTCTTGTCCTTGTCCTTGTCCTTGTCCTTGTCTTATGTTACACAAAACGTGGAACAATAAGTTATTGTTTTCTCATATGTCGAGCAAAACAAAGGATTGTAAATTTTGTCA